ACAACTGATGTATGTATGGATTGTGATAAGAGTTCTATGAGCCCCTAATAAAACGATTTTAAAAAATCCTTGTATGTAGCTCAGATCTTAACTATTCCCTTTCGTTGCTTATCAGAATAGCAGCAGTGTTTCTGTGGCTGTTCACGTTTGGGGTTTGTGTGCGTTGTTTTGCAGTGCTTTCTTTAGGCTGGGACAGATTTTAAAGCCAAAGGTCTCCATAGGGTTAGAATTAAGCACACCCTGCCCACTGCCATAGATTTGATTCCAACTCATAGCAACTCTACGTGTGGTTTCCCAGCTGCACCTCTTCTCTCAGAGAACAGTCGGTGGGTTTGAACTACAGCCTTAAAGTTAGCAATGCCAGGCTGCTCAAATGAGAATTAGGATATAAAGAATTTAAGAAGCACATTCATTCCAAGAATACCATTCATCCTGAAAATGTATAAGGGACATGAGAAGGGATCAGAAGAAGGCGTCTTGCTATCTACCTAGTCTTATATACTATTTACTTGTTCATCCAAAAAAGCAAAACAAACACAGCCAGCAAGTTGATGTCCCTTCATAGCGACCCTATAGGACAGGATAGATCTGCGCCCTGGAGTTTCCTAGACTTTAACTCTTTTCCAGGAGTAGACAGCCCTGTCTTTCTCCAGAGAACCGGCTGGCGGTTTTAGAACCGCTGACCTTGTCGGTTACAGCCCAGTGCATAACCACTATGCCACCAGGGCCCTTCCCTGCGGAATAAAGCCTGATATTTGTTTGAATGTTTGGTGCCTTAAAGACTAATGTTTTCTTAACGAAGAGGAGACTGCACTAAAGTGGCTGTTAACTCCTTTGAGGTAGTAGAAGAAAACAAACTCTTTTCACCTAGAATCCCCCTGCACTTGCTTTCCTCTTTCCACCCCAACCCCTGCCCATCACACACACACACACACACACGCACGCACGCACACACGCACACGCTGTAGTTGTTAAGCCAGTCCTGACTCTTGGCCACCCTGTGTGTGTCAGAGTGTCAGAGTGGAGCTGTGCTCCAGAGGGTTCTCAGTAGCGGGTTTGGGGCCCGTTAGGTCACTTCTGGGGTGCCTCCGGATGGACTCCAACCTAGTGAGCACCAGCGCAGCCCCTCCAGGCATTCCTTCTCCATCCAAAGCCCTACGACTCAGACCTTTGACCTCTACGGGAGGGGCAAGAGATACGTGCTTTCTCAAATGACGTTAATGTGGGAAGCTCAGCATTCAGATTTGAATAAAGAAAAAGCAGGTTTTATCTGCAGAGATGGAATTTGAGAGGCTATTTTGAAATTTATAAAAACAATCGATTCATAAGTAACTCCATATGTAGAGAACTTATATAATTAATATCACACAGTCTTTCACAGTAACCGTATAAAGGAGACCGTCTGAGAATGGGTACCCATCAAGGACTTACAAAATGAATCATCTTATTCACCGTGGGAACCCTGAAACTCAAAGGGGAATCGTTTGTCACTAGAATGTTAAGGCCAACACTCATGATCTGGGTAACCGGGTCGCCATTACGTACCATAGTATTCCCAGCGTGACACAGGAGCCACAGCAATTCCACACTTGAACACACCACTTCCGGATCCCAGCACCATGGAGGTTACGTACCCTCCATATGACTAAGGGACAGAAACAGTTATTTTTGTGGAGGTAAGGGAATAAGGACATATGGTAAGCAAGTCGCAGTTTCCATATTTCTCGCATCTTTATATACTGTGACTCTTTAGAGAAAGAACGCCTGTGAGACCAGTCTTAAATTGGCCTTAATTGAGCTGTTATCTAAAGACTGCACTTCAGTGGCCTGGTCCGCTTTAATACTAAAGGCAGGGGGAAATGCATGACCATGTTGCTCGTCGTGGTAACAAGGGGGTGGGGTGGGGGGGTGTGCATTTAAAGGAAGAAAGCAAACAAAAATGTTGCATCTTTACTGAGTGACTCAAGCAGAAGCAGTTTCCCTCCTTCCCCCTCCCCTCTATCCCAGTGAACAGAAGGGGAGGCCTATCTCAATAGAGTCTACAGAAGCACCACCTCCAGGTCTCCCCTTTGTTAAGTGGATCTTCGCTGACAAATGATCAACACAATGTTCTTCTCCAAATGCGCATGTACAAAAGATAAATCATCCAGCTCTGGGTTGTATTCATTAAGGAACCCACACAGATTCACCAGCCAAGCCACTACTCACCCAGCCCCAAATTGCAATCCGTTTCTCATCCACAAATCCCATTTTTGAGAATTGTCTACAAGACATGGAGGAAGTTCATGCATTAGTATGGAAAGGTTAGATAACTGCATGAAGATGAAGCCCTGTCATTTGTCCTTGACTTCATTTTATTATAAATGAAGACTAAACCCTGCAACAATCAATCAACACCTGAGATCAACATCTACAACGTCGCTATCTCTCATGTTAACTTAAGGCCTAGATGAACAAGGTCTTGTTGGGCATCCATAAAAATTTTGTCTCTGCCTATGTGTCTCTGTGTGCGTATGATTCACAGAAAACAAATGCTAGCAGGTTTGTTGTTTTTTTCTCTTCTTCACAGCTTTATATAAAAATTTGCAGCCCAGATGCACTTTTCTTTATGTAATTAAATTTAAATCTCTCCAGATGTTTTTCAGTTCAAGAGAGGCTGCCCCTGCTATGGAGAAATACAGGAGTATGGAGAACATCTGGGTAGGGCTTAGAATGTCTCTGGGCAGCCTACCTGAGAAGTTAACCACCCCTCTCTAAATAAGTCACTCTCCGCTTAGTGTTGATTAGTTAGCTCTGCACCACTCAACATAAAGCAATTTGTTCTTTGATGGATTAAAGAAAGTCTTAGCTGCTGCTAAACTGTGTTCAGAATGAAATCCCTGTAAAGAAATGAGCAAAATGTTTTTGCACAGCTATTTGTAACCTTACATCAAAAGGCAAATTGTTCACTGAATTGTACATCTAAAACTAGTTGAAATGGTAAATGTTTTGTTAGAGACAGGCAACCCAAATATATCTATAAACCTTAGGGACTTTTTCCTTACTCTGTCAAATGAGGCTTCATTTTGATGTATTGTGGAGCATGGAAGGGCTGTTGCTGAGGTTTTGCACTGACTGATATGTGACTTTGAAAGTCTTTCTGTTGTCAATGATCACCTGTGTTTTGGCTGCTCTGAGTTAAGCAATAACAGAGAAAAAAGTTAAAGTAAGTAGTTTTCCAAATAATCTTCTCAATGTAAACTTCTACAAACTAGGGAATACTGTAAATACAGAAATGTATACCAAATCCTAAGTGTACAATTGGATGCATCTTACAGGTGCATATCTTTGAAACCTGAATCAAGACTGAGTACATTACTGGCCCCCCAGGGGCCCCCCAGTCAGTTCCTCATTTATAAATGAATAAAAACCATCTTTTTCTTTTATTGGCTTCCATAAATATTTTGCCTCAATTTGTGTGTGTGTGTATGAATGGAGACAAATAATCACTACTCATTCTGATATTTATCAGAAGTCACTTCTATTCTGATTAGATCTTCTTCTTTTTTTTAAATCTTGCAAAATGTACACTTTTGTGTCCAGCCTCTCTTCCTCAGCAGTCTTCTCATGGGATCCATCCACGTGGTGGTGCAGAGTTCATGTTTGTTGCTGAAATCGTATTTCATTTTGTAAATAGACACATCTCGCTAGCCTTTTAACCGGAGCTGCTTATTAGGCTCCAGAATTCTCTGATCTGGGGGATTGAGTTGCTCAGATTCCAGAGGCCGTGTAACCATATCCCATTTCTCCCATCACAGTCCGAATAAGCAAACCTACTTGTTTATAATATCACATGACAGTCTTGAACAAATTTCTCCTCTCTCCAATCTAACTCTCTTCCTCCTTTTATTACTAAGGAAAATAGGCAATTATTAACTTTGTTATGAGACTTTCATCCATTCAGGGATACTCAAGAAATGATTGGTCTTTTCTTTGTTGTTCCTTTTCGCAAAGATATTTTCCTACTCACTTAATTACTTATGAACATTTCTGCATTTCTTAGTTTTTCATTTATCAACATTATTGTTAACCTCCCCACTTACTGTTTTCCATATATTGTGGAACCTCCAAGATGAGATTCCCATTTACCAGCCACATGCAATGGACTGTAAGCTTTTGGATCCAAATCCTGTCTGACAGGGCAGGTCACCTACCCAAAGAACCTTCACTTTGCACTGAAACCTGGAGGGAGGAGCACCTCCCCTCCGCCAGCTGCTGCGACGCTTCCATGAGCTGCTGGGCAGCTTTGATAAGAAGGCAGGTAAAACATATCCCAGTGTAGGCTCAATACATGATAACCAACATTCATGATAAAAATCTCTCTTAAGCTCAGTCACATCTATGTGTACTCCCATAACTGGAAAGCATAAGATCAGATGTCATTCATGCTCAATGAAGCCCTGTCCTTATGACGGACGGTGATGGGGCTCCACATCACCTTTCCCAAGCTGTATAAACCACTCCTTAGACCCCAAAGCTGTCCCTCTCCTACTCCTCCTGAACGAAAAGGAGGGGCTTGCTTGTTGGGCTAGATGCTTACTCAGGGGTACATTTATCTTCCGGTTCATCCACATGTGTTAGATGAATTTGGAGTCTGTTCTTAGATGACAGGAGGACATGGTTACTACTTTTCTAGACTCCCACAGAGAGGGATTTGGGATGTGATTTTTAAAAAACTTTCCATTAATCTGTAATCATACAGATTTATTTCTAAATAACATCCACTAAAAATTCACCCCAACGATGAAAGGTTACAAGTTCATCTGAGGGCAATCCAAATTCTTTATAGTTTATAATGTTAACATATAAATTGGAAAAAAATCCAACCACTTTTGAATCCATCTCCTCATAACTCACCTGGCTGCTTCAATTTGATCTTCCACTTCAAATGTTCCCAGTCTTCTGTTTATTGCGTGCATGATATTATCTCCTTGGTAACCACTTCCTCTGCCATCAACACTAGCTACTATAATGTTTTCTGTGCTTGCAAGGTAAGTAGCCCAGTTGAGTCTGAAGGCGGTGTCTGCTTTTTGACTACAGGGGCCTGCATATCTGTGAAAGAGATCAGATTGTCAGCACTCCTAGTACTTCACCAAATGCAGAGTACTCCCATTCCACTTCCCTGTGGACAAGAGATATGCATCTTTCTGGATCATGAGGCTGACATTATGCCAGCCAGCAGGATATCAGGAATGGATCCCCTGAAACCTGGCAGCTGTCCTGTCTCTAATGCAGCTGTACCACAAGTGGGTGGCTTCAGGAAACAGAAGCTAATTTTTTTTTATGATCCTTAATTTTGTTCTATTTTTGTCTCCCATTCTGTCCAGGACTGTGGTCCCAAGCAAAATGGTTGGCAGTGGTAGCTGAGTACCATCTAGTTCTTGTGGTCTCTACGTAGCGGAGGCTATAATTCACATCACTCATTAATCCTTTGAACTGATTGTTCCCTTCCGTTGTAGTGTTCTTCCACCTTCTTTACCCCACTTAGGGAGAGACCATTAATTGTGTTTGAGATGGCCACTTGCTAGCCTTTGAAGTCCTGGTCACGCTCATCAAAGTAGGATACAGAAAACTATCGGTGGGTCCTGCAAGGCCAGTTGAAGTCATTGTTCCCCAGGACTGTGGCCCTTCCACTCACTCACATGCGTCAAGTCCATTCGGACTCATAGCAACCCTTTCGGGACAGAACTGAACCGCACCCAGATTTCCTCCGAGGCTGTCCCACGTCACCGCAACAGACTGCCTCGGCTTTCTCCCACGGAATGGCTAGTGGAGCCAAATCATCCTTCTCACACTTCACAGGCCCCTGCTTAAACCACCACACTACCAGGACGCCTGCCTGTGGCCCTAAACACCCTTCAAATCTGGAACTAAACCCCGATAAGGCCAAAAGGGCCGCCTGTCCTCTAAAGTAACGCTCAGAAGTAGAAGGGGCAGGAAAGAAGGACACATAGATACACGGAATGCAGCGTTTGCTGCAAGTCTGCCGAGGACACCGCAGCGAATGTCACAAAGCAAACCGGGGAGGCGTTCTGTTGCCTCTCAGCAACTGGAAAGGTCAAGTGACACAAGCAGCTGATTCAGGTAGGGGGAGGGACCGAGGCTGCAGGAAACGGTGCTGGGGCAGCCTGGTGGCCCAGCGGGCAAGCATGGTCAGGATAGAGGGCAAAGTCGAACTGGAGATCTTTCCCTGGAGAAAACGTAAACCACGCGAAGGCTCCCTTGGAAGGAGCACAGACAGGCTGAGACCTACTGAGGAAAAGATCTGATGCTTCGACTATTTGATTTCAACAGATCCTAAAGAAAAAATCGGAGAGACTAAAATGTTGTTGGGTACAGTGATGAGAGAAGCTGCCTTTTTCCTCGGTGAGGCCAAGTTCACAGCTGGGGGCTTGAGCAGCAGTTATCCAGAATGTGAATGAAGCCCAAGTCAAGATTCTGTGAAAAGAAGATACTCCAGCAGGTGTTACTTGGCCAGCGTTGAAAGATGCCACGAAGGAAGTGACAGTTGTGAACTGGCTGGTGTAGCCAGGGGGGGGTGGGGTGGGGGTACACTTGGCTAAGCCCCATAGCAGTGGAACTACAGGTAAAACTACCCCCCCCACCTCCAGACTTTCTTTGCTACTTTGATTGAAGCATTAAGATAACAAATGGGGGTGTAAATTCCCATTAGCATGTCATCAGCCCCTGAATTGAGCAAATTCTGCTTACATCATCACTGAGCTGAACGAGAGGGGGTGGGGGGAGAGAGACCGGAGGTTAAAGAAAATACAGAAGAAAAAGATCCTCCAGGAAAAATCCAGGAAGACCTTGGAGCAGAGCAACTAGAAAGGGAAAGGCGTCCACTTCAGCCATCTGAAGGTGGAAAGAAGGGTAAGGAGCCTCTGTTCGGGTTTTTGTGGGGTTTTTTGGCCTAAGAATATCATTGGTTGTAAAATTTCCCTGGGTGGTCATTTCCTGGGGTTACCTCCTGAGCATCAAAATTCAACAAGTGATATCAGAGATTTGTAGAACCTACTAAGACATTTGTAGGATTTACCACAGAGAAGTGTTCCCTATTTTGTTGACACTGGTGTGCCAAGCCATCTGCTTACCAACGTAATGAGGAAGAATCACCTTAGGAAACATCAGTGGTCTCACAGCAAATCACTACACACATGGCGTTCCCATGTACTTGCAAACCTAAGCATGATTGCCTGAGATTGCTGCAGCTGGCCTGTGTTCTCGCCACGTTTTGTGACTATTCCCACTTACTTTCCCTTTAGCCACAGGTCTCTGTCCTGTCTGTCACGAGAGTAGTCCTGTTCATTTAAATGTGACTATTGTAGAGTAGTAGGTTGTGTAGGGCTGCTAACGACAAAGTCAGTGATTCAAACCCAGCAGATGCTCAATGGGAGAAAAATGAGGTTGCCTGCTCCCATAGAGATTGACAGCCTCGGAAACCTACATGGGCAGTTCTACTTTGTCCTATAGGGTGACTATGAGTTGGAATCAACTTGATGGCGGTGAGTCTGGCTTTTGGTTTTTATGGTTATGCAAATTAAGATGAATTTTTTTTTCATAATTAAAAGAGAGAAAAAGAAATAGAGTCTATTGGGAAATAGGCCTGTTGCTGTGCGATCGAGTGAGTAGTTCTCATGTTTGGGTCTGCAATCTGCACAGGCGACCACGGCAGAGCCCGCCATCCCTTTCTGGTCCTCCCGGTGTTCCGCTGCTTAGTCCAGAGCGGCTCCCTGCAGCTGGGTGAGAGGTTACTGATCTGCGACGTGAAACAGCACGCTATAAATTGCTGATGGAAACTGAACTGCTCTACAAAGGTCCACCCTGTTGACAATGTATTAAACGTGTTGTGTGTTTAAAGAAAAGAAACAGAGAGGGACTTCCTCAAGCTCATCGCCCTCTCATTTGAATGTGTCATGTTCGAGTCATCCACAGACAGGAGTCTGGCCCCAGAGCTCCCCCAGCCCCCCATCTCCCCTAAGTGTCAGCTCACTCCCTCCCACCCAGGCTCCACAGTTCCTTCCCGCATGCCTTTGCTATTGTTTTCCTCCTTTTCCTGAACAACACCCACCGAGACCCCCTGCCGTCAATTCAAGATCATTCTTAAATCATAAACCAAAAATGCCCCCTGAAGTCTTCTTAAAACCCAACAACAGCTTAGCTTAACTAGTTTTTTTTAAAGGCAGCCTTGAGATTTATGCTTATTTGGGACCCAATTGACAACTGCTTAGAGAGAATCAACTCCAAAGATCAGAGAGAAGCGGTAGGAGGCAATGGACTTGTGTATCCAGGCAGCCACAAGACTCAAAAGGAGCGTGGGAAACGGTGGCACAACTTGACGACTGTCATCAAGGTCACTGCATTCCATTTTCTTAAGTTGGTGCATATTTTTGCTTTATGTTTTCAACAGCAAAAAATATATATTTATTTTAAAGAGGACAATAACTGAATAGAAATAGACCCACATGTTACTATGTTTCTTATACTTTTCTAATGAAGAGCGGGTCCTAATAATTACTTATTGAAGAGCAAAAAGAGAAATATTACTCTTTTCCTAAGGACACTTTAAAAATATATATCAGGGCTAAAACATAGAGTAAATTCTCAAATTTACTTTACCCAGTCTATGCTGACTCAAAGTGACTTCATGGTACAAACTCTCCCTGTGAGTTTCCAAGACTAATTGTTAATGGGTGTAGAAAGTCCTGTCTTTCTTCCTCAGGGAAGGTGGTGGTTTTGAACTGCTGAGCTTGTGGGTCGGCTTAACTTTTAACCACTATGCCACCAGGGCAAATTAACATCACTATAAACAGTACTAGGTTATCTTAATAAAAATCAAATGGCTCATCAGGGAGTTTATAGTATCCATCTTTACCATTGAGATTTTATGTTCAGTTTTTAAGGAATCAAGATTATAGTGGAGGGAAATTGTGTGGGACACTAATACCTCTGTCTTCTCTCTTGCTAGTGACAACAGACAAGTGATGTATCTGAGTACAGTCTCCCATGTGAATGAACGGAGAACTATTGGTGAGACACCTGGCACAGGGAAGTCACCCAGAACACTTGTTCGTTTCCTTGTATTTTAATAAAGGAAATGGGACAAGCTCAAACAGGAAATGTGACAATGTGGCATTATGGGCGAGGCTAGGACAGCTTTTAAAGGATCCCATCAAAACGTATTGGTAGTCATTAAAATAAATATCTTCCAGTGCTGCTATATTTTAAAGATCACACAAATTCTCATTAACTGTTTCAAAGACTGTGATTTCAGCATTTTTTGGAACTTGACCAAAAAGAGGAAGAGAACATACCAGTCAGTGGTATTTGAGAAAGCAGAAGAAATAGTGGACGAATGAATCAAAGGGAAACGTTGGGGCAAGTTGGAGGGGTAAGGAAATCGTCAAGGCTGTTAGAGCATCTTTTGCTTGTTAAATTGTCTAGGACTTAAACATTTTTCTTTGGAAACTGCCTTAGGAGTTCAAGGAGAGAAAACAAAACGTACATGCCGTATTTGATGGGAGAATACGTACTGGAAGGAAACACTGGCTGGCATTTGGAGAGCAAAATAGAAAGAGATGGCAGTGAAATTGCCTTACAACAATTCAGACAGAAAGAAAGGATGCATTTTTGGCTCTATTTTTCAGTAACCAGCTCTGGGGAAAAGAGCATATAATGGCAAACTTTGAAACCATCCACTTCTCTTAAATACTTACACGTCTATTAGTAGAGGATATTTCTTGGATTCATCAAAATGGGGAGGCAAGATCATCTGATACCAAGCTTCTAAACAAACAGAAAGATTAATTAGCAGAGGAAAGAGTAGTTATTAGAACACAATTTTCTTTCTTTTTTCTGTCAGTGATAAGCCGTATCTGGAGTTTAATAACATACTAAATAAGAATAGAAAAACAGAAATGAACTGTTTAGATCCTGAATGCTTTTAGGATATAAAAAGATTCTCTCCCACATTAAGAAACTAGTTAGAATTAAAACAATAAACAATAAAGTCTCTTTAATACACCTATTAAAGACACTGATGCATTGTAAAATAAAAGTGGATCTTCAAATATCTGAAGTTTTGTTTTCATAGCCCTGTTTGTTGGCATCTGCTCTACTTATCTAGTTTGTTTATGGCTTAAGTTCTAAGTTTTCCTCTTCTTGAATTTCCTTGAAGCTGTTTAGGATTTTTCAGTTAAAATTCGGATTTAATAACATTCTTGTTATTGTATTGCGACCCCATTTTTAGCTCTGTGTTTTGCAGGAAGCAATCAGGTCTACCCGAAGTAAACTCTTGCAGGTATTCTGCACCATCTCTGCAGATCCATTTAATTCTCTGTGGTTTCTTTTGACATCAGTGAAGTAATATTTGTTCCTTAATAAATGAATCTGCTTCCCTGTCTCCAAAATTCAGGTGTCAGTTAAAACTAATCTTGTACTTTTTTCTTTAATGCGAGTTCCTGTTTATCTTAATAAGATTACCTTCTAAATCAATAGCTTCTACCTGTTGGAAAATAAGGCTCTTCTTTAGAGCTGCTTCTTCATACATCACTCTTCATTTTTGTTTTTGCTGTTTTACAATTATTTTAGTTTAGGAGAAATTAAAAGTTTTGGAGTAGAATCTTCAGCCAGATAGCATCCGCCTCAATTGGTATTTGGCAGGCAATTTTCATACCTTCTGATTTAAGGTGCTTGTAACCTACTGCCTTCGATTCCAACTCTAATAAAAGCATCACGAATGTAAGTCTCCATCATCATTTCAATAGTATGACAAACCAGCAGTAATTGATCCTGAATGTTTTGCTTTTGCCTTACTGAATAGGCATTCGTTGAATAGACGATATTGTACTTCTACCTTGTTGAGGGTATGGATTCTTTTTCTCAAAGTCCTTCCTTCCTGCTCCCTCCACCCCCCTACCCCCACCCTCCCATCTCCCACCCACCCCCACCCCCACCCTCTCTTCAGGGCTTCATTTGCCAGTTTTTGAAATGCTATAACCCCTACCAACTGGACTCCCCTCCCCCACCGCTCCAACCTACTCTCTTTAGCACATTATCCCTCTGATCCAGAAGACCCTGAGTCTTCTGGATCTCCTGTGTACCCAGTGAAATCAAATGTCACCTCTTGGCTTGTAATACATTCAGCACCAGAATGTTCCTGTTAGCTGTCCCCAAACTCAGAGCGCTTGCCACTCTAGAGTGGGCCAAAAGCAACGAGGGGCTCATTCCAAATGCAGATGCCCGGGCCTGCTCTGATCTGAATGTTCATGTCCACAAGGTCGCGGGTGAGTCAAATACACATTCAAGTCTAAGATGCTCCAGAAACCGACTCAGTGATTTTCTTCTCATTTCATACTGGGGCAGTTGAGTTTGGTTTTTATTTTACATTTTAAAGTGAACTAAATCTATGCTGTTTTAAAATAGAGAGAGATAGGTAGATATAGAGAGATAGATTCCTGATAGATTTTCCACCCATATATTGTTATTCCTGCTGGGAGAGAAAGACAAAGAAACAAATAAGGTTTCCCACTCAAAAGAATTAATTGTTTGTGAAGTCACTAAATAAACTATGGTTAGGCCACAAGACCAGGGACAGGCTAATTACAGGGAGGGTATTTTAGAAAAAGTCAAGATTTCTGTAGTGAGACTAAAGTTTCAACCTTTTATAGCTGTTCCTAATGCTTTCAATGCTATTATCTCACAGACTTTTCAATCTCCTGGGGTCCAGGGTGAAGCATAATAGGGTATCCTTAAGGTTGCTGCACAAGTGACAATTACAGCAGTTACCAGTATGATCCACCTGCACTAGCGCTAACATAGTGTTCAAGGATACCTTTTCTCTTGGCAAACACATTCTATATAGAATGTTATCCTCTGTTCAAGGAAAGGAATGCGAAATAAGTAGTTCTTGTAATAGAACATTTATTTCCTGGCCACCCTCTAAATGGGATTTGTATCTAACATGAGATGCAAATTTAAAGATGAAATGATCATATTTAGTTATATTTATTGCTGTTTAAGTCTTGTTGAACTTACTCATTCCATTCATCTGAAGATAGTCCAGTTTCTTTGTGGGCATCTGCACATCCTTTAGCAATTCACCCAGAGCGGAGTTGTTTTCCAGGACTCTCAGTGCTAGTTAAACATAGGGGACAGCAGAAATGTGTCACAAGGTGAAGAATTTAGGCTGTGCAACGCAACACTGAACGCACCTGTCTGTCACTGACCAGATGACACATCTTTCGGTCCACAAGCCCTGAGTTCAAGTCAGGGTGTATGTTAAGAGATTCAAAAGCCAAGGGAAATCGTATTATGCTAAGTGTGGTGCTCCCAATCACCTCTGTTCCTAAAACCAAATGAAGGTGATCAATGATCAATTACCTCTGTCATTGCTGCTGCTGTGCAGAGTATACAAGGGCAGACCAGGGCCTGTTAAAATAATCCGGGAAAAAGGTAGTTTAGGTGAATATTACATACAAAAAGAGAGAGCATACATTCCTTTTCAAAAATATCATTTGTAACCATTGAACTTTGATAGAACACAAAATAAATATCATAGTGGCTAAGGAAGTCAAAAACTGCTGGCTGTTATTATGACTGCAATTTTTTACTCCCCTTTCCTTACAATAACTGTAATTTAAGTTTAAGAAGTATTGCAGGAAAGGAGTCTAGGGAAGGAGCAGCCTCACCTCTGGGCCTTCTATGATCTAAGTCTTTGGTCCCTCCTGCACCCATCCTTCCCGCTCTTTCTACCCAGCTCGGCAGAGCTTGTCAGCTCTCTCAGGCCCCGCCCCTTCAGGGCGGAGCTCCGGACTTCCACCTGGGTTGGGGTGGGTTTCCTTCCTTCGTGCTGCCCAGTCCAAGCTGAGCTCCCATCTGACTGGCATGAGAGATTCCTTTCGGGCATGCCAAAGTGTTTTTCCGACAAGCACATCTCTTCACCATTTATCCGAACTGTGATAGTTGCAGTGGTGAAGGTAATGGAATTTTGTGCGCTGTTCGATTTTGATTAGCATTTGTCCACTAATTAATCTTCACCCTTGATCAGAACCATAGTAAAGGTGCCACACAGACCTGGGTTTGAATCCTGGTTTCACTGTGCGTGACTTTGGACAAAATCATCTAAACTTCAATATGCAAAGTGGGGATAATGACGTCTACTTTATAGTTGTTAAAAGGTAACACGAGAATAAGTATAAAGCTGTCAGCGCGGGCATACACAAATGTGCGCTGACAGCACAGTATCTAGTGTAACATACTTGCATGTAAGTGCTAACTACAAATAGCCATAGTAAAGAATTGTAGGGGAAAAGTCAGATTAATTGGCTTGGAGATCCGTTTTGGCAATTGTCAGCTCTTTCCAGAATATGCAGTCTCTCTCTCCCATTTTGAGAATTATTCTAGTACGAGAGCCCTCTGAATCGTGCTCTGCGGCTTAGTAGCTGTGCAGTCTGACATAAGTCTCTTTCTCTCGCCTTATGCAGCTTCCCCCACGTATGAGAGAAATAACATCAAAAACTCAGAAAAGGGAGCAGTGCATGTAATAGGGGACAGGTACCACCCACGTGCATTTTTTTCACATTCAACAGGCAGTGAGCAAAATGATAACAAAAATAGCCACAATATGAGTGTATGTATACAGGGAGGCAGTACCTCCGTATCTATGTAAGTTCCGGAGTGCATGTGTTCTCAGTGCCATGCCAGGATTTGGGTTCAGACTGGAGAGGAAGGGTGCTCAAACATACAGGTAGGAGTGCAGGGAAGGGGACTTGCACAATCTCAAGAGCTCGTCAAATTCAAAAGGAGAAAATTTGGGGGCAGGGGGGGGGCGGTGTTTCTCAAGGTGGAAACAGGAAAGGAAACCTCGGAGATGGCCGAGGCAAGGAAAGAAGCGTGTCCCGAGAGAGGAGGAAGGATGTCTTGGCCAATACAAGGGGAAGGGGTGAAAGGAGAGAGCCACTGCAGACAGACACGGTGCCCCAGCTGCAGCTGCCCACCTTTCCAGTCAGTTCAGACTTACCGGAGCATCTTAGCTGATAATACTTGGTCTCTTTACTAAAAGACACAGAAAAGTATTGGCACTTGTCTGTATCCAGCTCACAGGTAATGCACTTCACGTTGTTCGTGTTGTTCAGTTGGATTCTGTAAAGCCCAAGGAAGAAATTAAGTACATGATGACAGAATAGTGACAGGAAGGGATTGAATAACGGTGCTCAGGCTTCAAAGGTTTCTGAATGCTAAAACGATCCTGAAAAACATCTTGTTTCTTAATGTGAAAAGAAAAGGAAACGCTGCGATAGGGTTAATTGTGACTCACAGAGACCCCCTAGGACAGAGTAGAACTGTTCCATAAGATTTCTGGTTCTGTAAAGCTCCACAGACAGACTGCCTCACCTTTCTTCCATGGAGTGGCTGGTATATTCAAACCACCCACCTTTCGGCTAGCCTCGTGATGCTTAACCCACTGTGACACCAGGGGCTTTTGATGCAAAAGACATACTTGATTAATTTGTAACGACCTGAAGTGTCTCATTGTTTGGCAGTCTCACAAACCATCCCATGTGGCATCCTCTTTTGTGTGGATGTGCAGACTGGCTTCTAAAGTGATGAAAGCATTCTAGAGCAGTCCCAGGGTTAGGAATATTTGGACACAGAAATGAATTCATCAGCTAAAACCACCCCAGTCAACAACATCATAGGTAGAGCTCTTACTTATACAGATTTCTTCCTCCTGGCATTCCTTTATGTTCATTGCTAATGTAGTATCTGAGAAGAAAGCAAATATAATGTATATTAATTATGTTTTCTGAAAAGTCAGACGCATTCATTTAACTCAACATCAAGCATTAGCGCACCTGAGACATATGCCCTACATTTATCCTTGAATCCCTCCAGCCCCACTTCCTAAAACTGAAAATGATGTTCTATATCAGTTCTAAATAAGGGACTTTTTGTCTTGACAGGCTAAAATATATGGATATAGGCGTTTCTTCCTTAATTAGCAGGACAAAAACTCAGAGTCTTTTGTACAAAAAATATGACTAGACAACGAATCTGAAATGGCCATTCCCTTTTCTGTGCTAGTACAAACTCCTCAAGGGCAAAAGCCTGCTTTTCTTGCCAGTGGAAGTGCTACATTTGAAGAGGCCTCTAAGAACTACTAGGGACAATGGCAAAAAAATTCTCCCAGAGTGAAACCAAAAAAAAAATCATGACAGTGTCTCAAATTCTAATTAAAACAACAACATTGACTAATGTAGTTGAAAGACTCTGCAAAAAAAGTGTCCTTTCTCAAAGGACGAGGCCCAGATATGGACAGACACACAGCCCTCCCGAGACCTCCAAGAAGGCGAACAAAAGGCCTCCCAAGCCGAGTTCCACATTCCAGGAAAAGGGGCGACAGTGTAAAGCAGGTAAGAGCAAGAGGTAGAGCTTATGTGGCATGGTATCAAGTCTGCAAAGCATATGTGAAAATCATTAAGCCTGCCGTATGTTAAAGAGAAAAAAAGTACTGAACACGTTCCAAAGAGACTAATGTTTATTTGTAGGCGATTTCCGCCCTCCCCCATTTCTGAGCAGAGAGGGCTTGATTATGACAAGAGGTTTACATTCCGTGGAGTATTGGAACACTCACAGGTATTCGTTGGTAAGAGCTTCAATGCTGATGACTTCCCAGGCTCCTGTTGTAATAAAAGTGCAGCCCTGTCGGGGTGTTTAAAAAAAAGAAATTTATTAGACTGCGTCTCCCAGGGAAGTTGAGTGGACAGATAAAAAATTCTTTATAAGTAGATTTTGCTATTAAATGACAAAATTTCTTCCCTGCCTTTTAAAATACTGATGGTGGCCTTTTCTTTCTTTCTCATTATTTGCATTTTATCTCTATATAATTATTATTTTATCCTTACCACTTTATTTTGTTTTTATTTTTCCCTTTGTTTAGGATGGGTTTTCCAGTTTGGGAAGCACAGAAGGAGTACAGTGAACCCTCATTTATCGCGGTTAATCGGTTCTAGACCCTACCGTGATAAATGAAATTCCGCGAAGTAGGATTCCTTATTTGTAAATCAAATATTTTCGTAGTTAGA